TTTGCGCGCAATTCGGCGCCTCGTTGAATTATTCAACGAGGCGCGCGAGAGGAAGCGAGGAAAATGTTTTGATTATGCCGAACCACGAACGCGCGTCTCTCTCGCAGACGAAACGTAACATGCGGACACCTACACGCGACGTTCGCGCGTTGAATTTCTGAACCGCGCGCGCGCGCGCACGTAATAATTCGCGCGCATTCGCGGAAACGCGCGTTAATAAACATGTGTATACCTGCGTCGCGGCGAGATTTAAATTTAGATTAAGGAGGTATGTGTTTAGAGAAGAGAGAGATGAATGGATCAAATTGTCCACGATGCGCACATATACGCGCGCGTGCGTCGCCCGAGTACGCGAGAGACCGAATTACTTTTTATTCTCGCGGCGAATATTCTGAAAAAAACGTCCCTGATTGCGCGAGTCCGTGGCGCTTCGATTGAAATTTGTGCGGGCGAGAATGAATGAGGCGCGCGTGCGAGAGAAACGCTGATGAAAAAAATCATTCTCTTACGTACGTAAAAGAGAGATGTTTATTTTTGCGAGAAATGTCAAAGTTCTCCGCGCCGAGGTTCCGTGGAATCGCGCGTTTGCTGAATATTCAACGATCGAGTTTCGCACATCTCTATACAAAATCGCAAATAGTTCGCGTTCATCTCCCGCGAACAAAGCTATAGAAAATATAATGTTGAAGTTTGTTGGAAAATCGTCCGTCCGTCCATCTCTGAATTTTTCATTTGCGTTCCCTCGCGACTCGTGCGACTATCGTCATCGTGCGACAACTAACGATCCTTTTTTTTCTTTCTCTGTGTGTGTGTGTTTTACGCCATGACTCGCTGCGCTCTGCAACGCGCAAAGTAAGAAGACGATAAATCGATGCTCGCGAAACCCGAGAAGCGCGCGCGACTTTGTAGCGTTTACGTCTTCGAGCGCCCCGCGCGCCGCTAATATTGGAAGTCGAGCGCGTAAGTAGTTTGCAATTCGAAGTGACGTTGTCGCGTAAAGCGAAAAAGAGAATATGTATAATACGCGTTTGCGGGGGCGTGCGAGATAAAGACCGACTTATCAGTCGGCACACGTTTAGCTCTTTGAACGCGCGAACTTGAAAGCCTATACAATCCCACCGCGAAACTTTCACCGCGAAGGTAGGCAGAGGAACAGAGAGAGAGAGAGAAAGTTAAAAGACACGAGAGTGTGTGCGTATGCAAGTGTCAACACTGTCACGTTTCGCGCTTCCGCCGCGTCGTAACACTCGCAGTGTGTCATCCGCAGTCAAGGGGGTTGTTTCAAAGCGATCGTGCGTTTTCGCTTCTCTGCCGATGCCAATCGTTTCGCGCATCGGCCGCTCCGAGTTAAGTTTGCGATTGCATGCGATTGCATAAAAGTTCGGAGGCTGTGATATCCCGGAGAGAGAAAGAGAGAGAGAAAGAGAAAAAAAAGAGAGAATTTGCGGAAAACGCACGCGCGGTCGCTTTTCTCGAGAGGTGAATAAAAAATACAAAGAGAGTTGTGTACACACACTCGTCTCTCTCGCCCACGGCCATGATGTGGATTTGATTAATTAAAACAACGGCGAGTGTTTTGCGCCTGATGCCAACTTCCTTTAATTTCAAACGCGAAATTCGTGCAACGTGTTGCACAATAAATAAGACAAAATAATGTTGCGCGTGCGCGCGCGCGAGAGAGAGAGACAGTAGTTTCTGTGTGTGATATAATTAAATTCTTGAGGAAAACTCGCTTTTCAATCTTAAATAATTAAGTCGAAAGAAAGAAGAGAGTTACCGAATTCGTAATCTAAAAACCGCATCATCCCCCGTTTTAATGTTTTTTTTGTAATTATTGAATATAAACAACATCTAGCAATCAATATATCAGTTGTCAGTCTTCGATAAAAAATAAAATAGGTATTTCAAACTTCGAGCTACAAATTTCTGACAGTAACTTGTGCAAATTAGTGTCTACAAATAAAAACTATAAGATCAAATTTCTAAGTGAATTACGAATTCAGCGACTCTATATATATCGCGAAATAAAACTATTCTTCGATCATCTGTTGAAACTGTGAGAAAATATTCGACAGGTTCGATGGGATGAAAAAGAGAGAGAAAGAAAGAAAAGCTTAATAAACCATCATCGGAGAGCAGGTGGCTCTGGTATAATGTGTGCTCTAGGCATGCTCTAACTTCCGTGAAGCTTATCGACCGGTGCACACCGAAAAGGCGGGGGTGTGGTCGAATATATATTGTTCCGCGTCTCTATTTCAGAAATCGCAGAAAATCGCACGACATGCGCTCGCGTGCGAGCTATGACGGCTGCTGGCAGAGAGTGGCCGCACAATCGCGTTTTGTAGCATCAAAATGAGAAAGAGAAAAAAAGAGAAATTCTCAGAAAGTAAAACAATATGCGTATGTTAATGTACGCGTTGTATTTGTTTCCACAAACCGGAAAATGTGAATTTTGAACATGTGTGTAATCTCGCACATATTTAATTTCGACAATTAATTCCGTATTTCACTCACAAGAAGAGAACATTTGAGTGATCTAGCAATTTTCTAACAATTTTTCTCAGTCATTTCTTTAGTGCTAACAATATTTACAATATTCATACAATCATTAAAGAAAAACAAATAAAGAAAAAAATGACATCAAAACACACGACTACCATTTGGTATTTTTAATTTCTTATACTTGGATCTGACGCGACTATCTAATTTGCGGTTTCATATTTGTTAACATTTTCCTACGCTTTTGCAATCGCCTGAAATTAAATTTCTATTATTGTCGTGCAATACTGAGCTCATTCCACGCTATTTCCTACGTTGATTTCTCGTCAAGAATTTCGATTGCGTTCGCATATCATTTAAATAATTTAAACTCTCAATATCTCTCTCTCTCTCTCTCACACACACACACACACTTTGTGTGTATATGTAGCGGGATACTATTCAGAAAAATTTTCTTTTTGCCTGCTACTACACAAGAATCTTCTCTCTCTCTTTCACTAGGAGAGAGAGAGAGAAAGAGAGAAAGACATATTTTATACAAAAAGAGCCGGGGTTGAAAAAGAGTTAATGTAACAAAAGTGGAGCCGGGATGGCTCGTCGCTTTTTCGCAAAAGAACCACGAGCAAGGCACAAAGTATCGTGGTTCTGACAAAAAAAGAGACACGCGAATATATATCCGAGTATATGTGTATATATATATATCTTATATATTGAAGAGCAGCGCGAGCGCACGTCGTCGCTCCGAAATACACGACTTGGAAAACGTTGCGACGAGCATCCTCGACTCGATGCTAGTTTCTCTGTGCGCGATGAGAAATCGGGCACAAACTATACGGAGATGTGTGTACACCCCCGATATCGATTTTTTAACATCTCTTTTACGCTTCTTTACTCGTATATCTTCTTTTGTATCGCGACAAACGCTATGGAATTCCACGATTGCACGCGTAAAATCGGAAATTCTGCGGAAAGATATTCGCAAGACTACTAGGCCGCGAATTCGAGAATCCGAATTCGCGGGGCAATTATTTAACGTGAAAACAAATATACAAAATGCAATACAAATAATTTGAAGTATAACAAAATGTTGACCCTAACAAATAATAAATATCATATTTTTCATGTCTCCAATGGTCGCGTCTCGCCGACAACGAGCGCGACGCGAATCATCGTCGAGAAGTCAATGCAAATTTGTTTATTACCTCGCGGTAAAGATGACGAAAAGTGCTTATCTCGCCGGGACGATGGAAAAATAACGTAAATTTTCTCGGCGGTTCAACCCCTGAGAAAAACGCAGCGAGAGACCGCGCCGGGAAAATCGCGAGGAGCATCTAGTGACTTTTAGGGATAACAGCATGCAAGACTGCAACCACCTGCCGTTGCTCGTGCTACGATCGAGAACGGAAGAACGAGCGCGGGGATGTCGCAGAGGGTGAGACGAGGAGGAGAATGAAACGTGACGACGAGAACGCGATACTGTGAAAAGAAAATATAGGAGATGAGAAAGGAAGACACAAGGGCGGAAAGAGAGAGCGCGCAAAGGGAGCGAAAGAGACGAAGCGAAGGTAAAAAGCGGCGACGTGGTATCGATTCGGTAACAGATCCGCGCGTATATGTGCACGACGTGCTAATGTCTTGTTGTTGCTTCTCGCGCGAGGCCAACGTGCGTCTCGCGAGAGAGAAGAGAAGGCGACGGCGAGTGTAACAGGGCGCCCTGTGATACGCTTTATATAGAGGCTGAGCCGCGAGCAGACGGCCCGTGGCGCTTAAATATAGACGACGAAATGCAACGGGGTGTCTCTTAGAGACGTGCGAGAAAGAGAGAGAGAGTACGAGTGAAAATCGCGGATAAGAGACACACACGCCGCGTATATTTGTGCGTACATGTAAGTGAGCGAGAGAGACCGCGAAGCGCGTCGAAAGGAAGGAGAAAAGGTGAGAAGGAACGAAACACCAGAGAGAAACGGTGACGGGAGCGGAGAGAGACAGTCAGAGAGGGAGGGAGAAGGAAAGGCGGAGAAGAGACTCCGCATACGTAGGGAACAGTTATGGCCGACCGCGCAGCGTCGTCTGCTACGGACGTAATTCGCGAGGACACGGCGAGATTCCGAGAATCCGCGACCTTTTCGCCGTAACGACTCGCGAGACGCGCGCGGCGTTCTCTTCCGATCGACACGTTTGTCTCGCGGAAAAAAAAGATCTGCTCCGATTCGCGACATGCCGGTATAAACGCGGATCTCTCTCTTTCTCTCTCTCTCTCTTTCTCGCGTACATCAGTAGAGACAGCAAAGGAACTGGTCGGACGACGGCGATGTGAATGCATCGGCGCGATTCAGCAAGCGAGAGATCGAGTGCCCACGCGCCGAAAATACGCCGATGTTTTATTATTCTCTCGCTCGCTCCGTTTTCTCGTCATTCGGCGCGCGATTATTGTACGTATATGAAAGAAACAAAAAAAAAAAAAACAAAAACAGAAAAAATAAAAACAAACATGTACTCACTTGCCGAGTTCCTCCTTCAGATCATAATTGTCACTGAACCGCGTGCAAGCCGTTGGCACGGACATACCGAGGCCTCACGATTATTCAACCGCACCACCGGACTCGGAAAACGCGAGCGCGAGAGAGCCACTGCCGGCTGCCACTGTACTGCACACACGCGCTAGGGGAAACTTCGCAGGTCAATTCGATCAATAGAGGGGAACCGCCGCGGCGCTGCTCGAACACCGGGACGACGACGGCGGCGGCGACAGCGGCGGCGGCGGCGAACGACGACGGCGACACGAGGCGGAAGGGGCGGATAGGCCGGACCAGGCGGCGGAGGAACGGAGGGACAGAGAGAAAAGCGCCTCTCCGTCCGCGTTACCGCACCTCGGCGACGAACGATTCGCGACGACGACGACTACGACGCGCGAAACGATATCTCTTTTTGCTCTCGCGCGATACCGAACGATATATACTGTTACTTTGCACGAATATTTGTAACAAGAAAAACACGTCCACACCGCTCGCCGGCAAAACGTTGACTGACTCGCGTAGTGACGGCGCCGGCGCGTTGACGGAGTGGGGAGGCGTAGACGGCTCGGCGATGGCGGCGGACGAACGAGGCGCCGGTTATACGAGGCGCCCAGCCAATCGGACGCGGCAATCGAAGGGTTCGCGCGATGCCGACCGAAGCGAGCCGAGCTCACGCGAGAAGCCGAGCCTAAGTTCAAGTTGGTGCTACGACGTCTCTCTGTTTTTTTCGTAGAAAAAACCAATGCTCGTATCTCGGCTGCGATGTTTCTTTTCTATGCAGTTTTTTCCACGCAGTTTTTTCTATCTAGTTTCTTTTATGAAGTTTTTTCTCGTTATATTCTAGATTTACGATTCATCCAAATTCAGCGTTCAGCATTCGCGCTTTATAGCAAACTAACGCAAGTTAATGAATGTTGTGTATTAAAGTATTATAAATACGTTTCGTTACGAGAGAGAACTCTCTGGTATATTACACGCGATATATTTTTCTTATATCGTATCTTTAATCAATCGGATAAAATGTTAGCTATGAGATCTTTAATAATTCGTTCTTATAACACTTATATTACTTGAGGAACAATTTCATTGTACAAATACACTACAATTGCAAAATTATCTTTGTCGCAAATTATTGTAGTTTGTGATCTGCATTAATCATTTTTTCCGTTCGTGCGCGAACAACTTTCCTCTTACGATTCGTCGCCAACTTGCGCGTTTTTTCACGGAATGTCACGATGCGCGGAATTTACTCAAGTATCTGTCGCGGGAATAGGAATTTTGGAAAATATCGCGCGAGTATCGCCGATTTTGCGAGAAATATCACATTTTTTCGTGCGCGCGCGCGTTCCTCTCGATTTCGCAAACATGGCGCCTTTTGGTGCACGGGGTGACGTGCGCGCGCACACGCGCCGGACATAAACGCGAGATTTACTACTGGCGCAGCCAAGCGCGAGTCTCCGACGTCTCTTCGATCTTCGCTATTCTTGGCTCGCGTTCAAAACGGGTAGAGATTGCACATTTTCGAGAAAATCCTGAAATTTCCCGAGAATGTGCGCTGCGCGATGAATTTTTGCGTTCGTGCTACGATACTTCTTCCGAAAAATTATCTCTCGAACGGAGAAGGAAGAGGAGGAGCGGAGATGAAAACTTTTTGGCATTGTAAAACGTAATTTTGTTCTCTAATTTTTATCTTCTTTTGCGTATCTTATGAAAGTTAACGTAATTCTCCACATCAGAAAACATTGTTCTTCGTTATTCATTTATTAATTATTTATTAATGTCTCTTTTACATGTGATCTTGATAAGATAAATAAATCTGCGATTAGCTATTTCAAAGAGATGATACAAAGAAGATATTTATTATACATGAATCATGTATATATATATGTCGTATATTTTAATTACTTTTACAAAACAACGTTTATATATGTGATAAATTTATCAAAAGAGCAAATACGTTCTAACAAATCACTAGTGCATATGTTTGCGCACGGTACAACAGTTGTATTGACATAACAAAGACAAACAGTCTTTGTATCGTACCTTGTTGTTGGTGACAAATGTATAGAATTCCACGTACAAAGTTTGAAAAAAAAAAAACAAATCTCGTACAAAAGTGTCTCGTTTCAATTACTCTCGTGATATATTCACCATACTATATGTATATGTACAGACGGCGTCATTAATTCGAAGAATAGGCGCGAGGATCGGAGGGCAAGCGGGGCGGTTGCTCGTAGCGCCAACGGGCGCCGTACTAACTAACTAGTAGCAATCGGGTGTCCACAACTGGACACCCGATTTTGGGACTAATGAATATTTGGATCAACTGGACTTTTTATGTGATCCCCGCGCCTATTCTTCGAATTAATGACGCCGTCTGTACTTGTATGTACGAACGAACGTACAATGTATATTATATTCGCGCGTGTGCGATCGTTATCGCGGATACATACGAGAATTTCTATCGCAGTCTTGACACGAAGAAATATCACACATATCGTACACCCCGACAAACCAGAAAAAAAGCATGTACTGATAGATATATATATATATATCTGTGATTATGTTTAAAATATAAATCGTGTGGTTTTTAACCACAGAGCGAGTCAGTACCATCACGTAAAACTAAGTATTAAATGCAACGGAATCGTGTCCCGGGAAATATGTCATTCCCGAAAGAGAGAAAAAGGAACGTTTATTTATTAAATATTTTTAATTTATATATATTAATTATTTTTCATAATTGTTCGTTTTTTCACTAACAAATTATGTAACAAATTAATATACAAGGTAAATGATCTCGATCTGTCAATTTTAAAAACTTGACGGCAGTAATAAAAAAAAATGTTCTATTACAATCTCATTTGTGTGTAATAAAGTCGATAATAAAGTCGATTGTTAGGCGTCGTCAGAATCAAATCAATAGGCAATGAGTTTCACAAATAAGATTTCAAGCGAGAAATCTCTGACTGACTGAAACAACGTGTTTTATTTACGCGACGTGATACTTGCATTTTCTTATAAATGTTTCTCTTCTTACCTAATTTTCTCGTTCCTGTACGGACTCTAAGAAATATTTGTTTTTTTGTTTTGCGACGACCGCTTTAACGATCTCGTGGAAAAGTTCTCAATCAATTCTTTACTCGACCGTAACGGACTTCGCCAAATTTCTCGGACAGTCGACGTTGCAACCGCGCAAAACCGCGATGTGGAAGGACAACAGTTGCATAGGAATGACGGTGAGAATTCCCTGCAAGCAGTCGACAGTTTTCGGTATCTCGAGAGCCCGGTCGGCGAAGGATTTTGTTTCCTCGTCCCCTTCCTCGCAGATAACGATCGGCTTGCCGTCTCGCGCGGTGACTTGCTGCAGCGCGTTCATACATTTCTGCAAAATAAATCATTCAAACGTGACAACAAAAGTCACATTCTAACGTTTCTCTTTTATACGAATGTCCCTTGTTTTTTGTTGTCGTGAAATAAAAAGCAAACCCACCACATAAACCGGATCTCGCATCACGATCATAATAACCGGCATGGAATCGTCAACGAGAGCCAACGGGCCGTGTTTCAATTCACCGGCCATAATTCCTTCGCTGTGCATATAAGTCAATTCTTTCACTTTCTGCAAAATTCGAAAAAATCTACTTGTAGTAACAATGTAAATAACAAAGTAACGCGTTTTTTTTCTTTTGTTTTTTTGTTGTTGACTCACTAGTGCGCCTTCCATACATGTAGCGAAATTATAACCGCGACCCATAATCAATAGGGATTTATGTTGAAACAGAGACTTGGCCAGTTCCTTAACTTTGTCATCGAGCTTCAGCACTTCGCGAATGAGATTGTCGAGATTTTTCAGGCCTTCGATGATCTGAAAAGCAAGCGACGAGCTCGATTAGATAAAACCTTCTCGTTAGAGAAGAGCTTCAATTCCGGAACCGAACGCACCTGCAAACGTCTCGCGCGAAGGGAGATTCTGTCCTCGCTCATTACCAGCGCAAACATCACTAGAGAAATGAATTGCGAGGTGTAAGCTTTGGTACTCGCCACACCGATCTCGGGACCGGCGTTGATGTGCACGCCGCAGTGGGACTCACGGCAAATGCTACTGCCGACGGTGTTGGTTATGCCCACGATAAGAGCTCCGCGGCTCTTGCAATAGCGCAGTGCCATTAGCGTGTCAGCTGTTTCGCCTGGTATTACAACAAAGTTGAAAAGTTCCAATTTTTAAGCATTATTAAATCCTAATATTATTTTTAACTCAAAACATATTTCCTTAATTTTCTTTATTTTTGGTATATATTGAATCGTCCCGTGTAAAAATGACGCCTAGAAGGAGAAGTTTCTTTCTGATTATACAGTTCTGCAAACGTGTTTCTATTAATCTCACCCGACTGAGAAATAAAGAAGCAGACGTCGTCCCTGAAGACCGGCGTGTTACGGTCCAAAAAGTCGGACGCAAGCTCGACCATCACCGGCAACTCCGTCAGCTCTTCGAGAAGCTGTCGAGTAGCTATAGCGGAGTGATAACTCGTGCCACAGCCGATTAACATCAGTCGTCTGCATCTTTTGATCTCGGGAATGTAATCCTGAAAAAAATACTCGTGCAGTCTTCTTCTCGTCTAATTGTCCGCGTGAGCGAAAACAATTGCTCGCTAAAAAGTAAGTTACTTTGATTCCGCCCAGCGTAACGGAATTGTCTTGGAAGTTCAAACGTCCCCTCATCGTGTTCACCACCGACTCCGGCTGCTCGAAGATCTCCTTCTGCATGAAATAGTCGTAGTTACCCTTCATGATTTGCTGAATCTCCATTTTCAGGGTCGTGATCTCACGAGCGTGCGGATCGTCCATGCAGCGACGGAGACGATGGATGCTCAGCGCGCCCTCTTTAACGGCCGCGACGTCGTCATCCTGAGAAGAGATAACGCGCAAGTAATGTTGTTTCTCCGCGGAACTTTTATTTAAAAATTTCGACTTAACGTGACGTCACAATTCGCACCTCCAAAAATATCACGCGATTCGTGTGCTCGATTATCGCGCTTGCGTCGGAAGCGAAGAAATACTCGACCTCTTTGTCCTCGAGGGGTTGAAACTCGGACGTGCTCTCGCTGCGCGGTATCACCGGAAGTTCCGGGTTTCTACCGTGCGGACGATGATCTGCGCAGAAACAATGAGTTGAGACACACCTGTGTGTTGTATTCTTTTTTTTTGTCTTTTAATTTTTACTTCACAAAGCGAGATACTTGAAAGCTCTGCTTTATATATTGGAATTTTCTTCCGACATAAAAAAAAAATCCTAGAGAGAAGATGTGAGAACAGAATAATAAAAACAAATTTGCTGCGGAGATTCTCGATGTGACACGTTTGATGAAAAACTTTTCCAGACTGAGGAAGAGACATCAAACGCGCGCACAGAGTCCCGATAAAACGTTATCTGTACACTGTTAACAACACTAATAGAGTCTATCACATAATATTTCATATATATACATATGTGTGTTATTTTTCGTATTATCGCATTTTTATCTTAACAATATTGTTAGTAACAAAAGAGAAAAAAACTTTTGACGTAAAGAATATTACATCCATGATATCAGAATTACATTTTACTTTATTTATTGATACTTCAGCCTAACGACCAAGAAGGGAGATATCAGAATTACATTAATCGCTTGGTCTTAATCTCTCGTGTTACAATAATAATAAAATATTGTAAATTACGTTGTATACATCGTGCCTCACAATGCGCTTTTTTTCCGTCCTCTAAGCCCCGCACCAGGTTTGTTTTGACGCGAGAGATACATAACACGTACATTGTAATAATAAAGTACATGTGATAAATGGCGATAATGGCAAAACTCTCACGTGTTTACACACCTCGCAGCCTTGGAATATTTAACAATAGCCGTATATGTTAATACGCAGGCTCGCTGCAAAAGGAATACGATGGCGCGACAAAAAAGGTAAGGTAATAAATACCTGCCGGACGTAATCGATAAAGATAACGGCGGTTATTACAGTTATTCGCCATTAGAGCGACGTTTGTTAATGTGACACGTAATGAAACAGATCGCGAACGGCGATTGTGAAAAAAAAAACAGTACACGTATTCCCCCTGAACGAATCAGATTGCACCGAATGTACCTTGTTGTAAGCGGAAAGCGGCACTCACTTATCCCGGTGTCGAAATCGGTGCCGATTCGAGAGCTCGTATACAAGCGATCCGCGTTTATCCGCGGAAAATCATGCAAAAGCCGATACATAATCGATTGAAAGCGTCGAACGGAAGCGAGCAAAAGCGTAAAATGTAAAGTGTAACGTATTACCTTGAGACGGTGCTTCACCTTCTGCACAGATTGGGACGCGGGGGGATGGGGAGAAAAACGAAAAAGAAAACAAAAATGATTAGCGCACAAATAATGGCAAAAAAAAAAAAAAAAAAAAAAAAAAAAAAACAGCGCAACAAACAGTGCTAAAACATAAAACTTTAAATGCGACAGAGACTCAGTTGCTTGCGGCACGAGCTTGCGAGCGAAACACAAGCGCGCGACAAACATAACTAATAATTTAAAACAAAAACAAAATGATACAAGTGCAAAAAGAGATATTTTTCTCATTCTTTTAAAGTTTCATAATTTTCTTTACCTTCTTCCTGCAACGATTATTCTCTCGCTTCGTAAAATGTTGTGCTAATCTTTTTGCAAACTTCGCCGAGATGCTTAAGCTGTTATTGACAAAACAAATTGCAGCGATGTGAAGTATGTTCAATTATTATTATTTTTCTTCTCTCATTTTTTCAAGACCACACATTTTTGAAGTTGTATATCTGCTGATCCCGCGGATTTAATATCACACATAGAAACGATTAGATTACGATTTATCACGAGCGAGCAATCTTGTAATCCCGCGCGCGGGATACTTCACAATCGTTTGTAATAAATTCAATTACATTCTCTATCTCTCACTTTTGACGAAGTTTGCGTTGCCCTATTGAAGTGTTCGATTTCCTGGAAAGTCACTTGAAAGAAAAAAAACAAACAAAAAAAGATATACATACATCTGCGATGCGTGTCGTCAATTTGGAGAAAAATCGCAAAAAGTCCCGTCTCGTAAGTATAAGTACATGCGTCGTTCGGTTGATTCATTCTTTTTTTTCTTTTTTTCAGCGCAAAACAAAAGTATGCCAATTAGTCAGCGATAGCGTGTGTGTTATTGTGTTAAAGCGATAGAACGAACGTCGGAAAACGATAAGAAAAGACGCGATTTCTCGAGAAAAAAACGCAGACAAAGTATTTTCTCGGATTTTTCGACGAAAAAGCGAGACTGTTAAAAAAAAAAAAAAAAAAAAAAAATATATATATATATCGATTAAAGCGATCCTCAATCACTGGATCTTGCGACATATGGAATGGCGCTTGTCCCTGACGCTAATTGTTCAATGACAATCGATCGAAATACACACACACACACACACATTGAGACCGGAAAGAGGCGTTTTGATTTACACACCACATATGCGACAAATACGATATGCCGTGGTTGTTTTTTGTACTCTCGTTACAGTGGGAGAAAGAGAAGAGATCCAGTGCCGAGGATGAAAGTCAAGATAAAGTCTAGTATAGTAGTGTATATACCTTTGTTTATTGCGCACTGAAGGTCATCTGACGGCGTGAAAAGTGTGGTAGAACATAACCGCAAGGTATTCATGCAAAAGAAACACTTGTATAGTAATCCACATTTGAAACTCGCTCGAATAGAGAGCTTACGTGCGATGCCACTTGAAGTTTAAAGAAACACACACACACACAGTTTGGACTAACAATCGTGCATCCAATCGGAACTCTCTAGCAATAAATTACGTGGGATTAAAATAAAAAAAGGGGGGTAAAATTATGGCAAAAATAAATGTTAATTACTACTTCAAATTCTATCATTATTATTACAATTGACTGTTATATTAAATAATATTAAGAGCTTGTGTGCGGGAGGAAGATACTTGTCTTGACAACTTTTACCTGAAGGAAGACGCGAGTAACGGAACGAGCGTCTCTCCGACGAGTCTTATCTCAGTGCGATTGCACTGTGCGCGCTAGAGAGAGGAATAACACAACGATAGATTACCCGGCATTTACCGAGTCGCAACGTCAAACAATAAAGCCGAATGTTGTTTGATGACAAGAGAACGCCAATTCGTTTTCGTGGTTGATGATTTCTAGTTTGGATTAATAGGAGAAGCGCATGCTCGGTTAATTGTCGGTTGTCATGTTAGTCACTCTTCTTCGGAATTGTGTGAAACACACATGATCAGAAAGAGAAAGAGAAACAGGAGTAGAATTGTTAGATAAGAGAGAAATGTTGAAGCATCTTTTCGCGCGTCTCCGCCGATTGATTGAACGTTTTTTTTTCTTGATGTAACAAACGACACGTTGAGTATCTCTCAAAGTTACAATATGTCGATAATCGTCGCCTGATCCGGGGAATAATCCCCGAGTGTCTCTCGTGACCGTTTGCCTGCATCCACGTGCCTCGAACGTAATCGATCGTTTTTTCTTACCTTTCCCGTACAAGATGGGCACATGATCGGTGGCCAGCCTCGTCTTCGTCTTGATGCCGACCAGAAGCGGCGAGCCCCGCCTCGTGGCCACGCACTCGCCCGGGAAGTACTTGCTCTTGAAGCAGAGAGCAAAGGCTCCTTCCTAAAACGCCGGAGAAATTCTTCTTACTTCTTCCACCTCTCGCAAGAAAAAACGGCTTTTGTGTTTTACAACAAAAGAATGTTTTTTTTTTTTTTTTAATAAAAATTGTTTTAACGTTTTGCTCCGCAATTCTCACCAATTGCTGAACGACCTGCTCGACGAGTTCGCGGAACGAGTACGCGGGATGTTGCACCCAGAGGTGATGAATCAGCTTGGCGATGATCTCGGTATCGGTGTCGCTCTCGAACATGTATCCTCTCTGCTGCAGCAGCGTCTTGACTTCCTTGTAATTCGTCACGATACCTGCGTTCGAAACGATATACGAGAAATTGAGAAACGTGTCACAGCGGAGTGGATGAGCGCGTGGGTTATAATCACGTGGGATCGATTACCATTGTGAACGACGACAAAAGCGTGCTCCCAATCGGAACGCTGGGGATGGGCGTTGATCTCCGACGGCACACCGTGGGTCGCCCATCGCGTGTGTGCGATGCCGACGTGGCACCGGGTCTCCGATTCGAAATCGAGATTGGTACCTGCAAACGAGCATTGCGGATTTTACGTCACGTCGGAACGGGGAGAGATTCGACGTGCGCTTTTGTTTCTTTTTTTTTTTTTTCGCAGCAGCAGCAGCACGACGACGTGAAAACACACACGGGGAAGGTGGGAGGGGGTGCGCTCTCTCCTACACTTACGGCAAAATATCTCTTCTTCGAGAGCCTTGACCTTTCCCTGCTTCTTAATAATCGCGATGTCCTTGCCGTCCGCGCTGTCAAGGGCGACGCCTGCAAAAAGGACATCGGTGTGAAGGAATTCCTATGACCAATATTTGTGTCGCGTCTCTTTCGTTTTGCAAATGCACGAGAGAGCATTTTTTTTCTCCCTCGTTCTCTTATTTCGTTCTCCGGGAATCTCGCAAATCGAAAGACGAATAAGAAGAGAAACGGTGACCGGATACAATTGGAATCTAATTTCGACGGTGAAATATACCGGTGTTGTTGCTGCAGCGCGAATGTTCAAGGACGACGAGACAAGCATCCACTTGTGAATTCTGAAGAGAGTAAAAACGCGGCAAGAATGTTGTACCGTTGCGCGCTTTTCTCATAGAACACGGTTGAAAGTTATTTTTCTCTTGTGTCTTTTGACGCGAGACGCGTACATGTATGAAAAAAGAACAGACTTTTCGAGAACACGTAGATTTCTCTTGAGATTGCAAAGATCGACTTACCTGCGGAATCATATCCGCGATATTCCAATCTTTTCAGGCCGACGACCAGAAGCTCCAGGATCTCCTTTCTGCTCTTCGGAGTCAAGTAGTTCAGATAAGCGAAAATTCCTGGGGTTCAAAAGTCACGTTTATTATCGCTCGTTTTATCGCGTCGAACAACAAATATCGCAGTTTTCAATATCGCGCGACGATGTAACATCCCGTTTTAGAATAATTTTGAAAGCGAAATTTGAAAGAAAGAGCGAGAAGAAAAGATCATCGCGCCAACGTCTTCTCAATTTCATCCGGCGCGCTGGTTTTCGAAGGTCGCGCGCATTCACTCGGGAGAACGCGGAAAGGTGAGGAATCCAATTTATCCGGGAGCGCAAAAAGATCGTGAGACGCCAGAATGAGAGAAAGAGAGAGAGAGAGAGAGAGAGAGATCGCGCAGCGCGCGGAACCTTTCCCTCCGTTTTTTTTATCTCTCTCTCTCTGTCTCCATAATTTTTACTCGCAGCAGACTCGCGATTTTTTTAAACTCGTGTAACAAAAATATGAAACAAAATCACAGTTCCGATTTCTTTCTCTTCACGGCGAAGAAAAGAAAGAGAAACTCCCGAGCTTTCTACGTAACAAAAAAAAAGTAAAACTATTATTAATAGTCTGAATATGAAAGATTCCCCGTCAATTCGAGAATCGCACAAAAAACCGAGATGATACATCGATGTCGGACGTCGCAAAAAAAAAAAAAAAAAATGCAAAGAGCCGATACTCGCGAGGAACAAGAAAGGGAAAGATGGAGAACCCGGTTGACCTAACAGCGAGAAAGAACAGGTAATTCGAGACACGCGCGCGCCGGTGAAAGGAAAATTTCACGTGTGTATGTGAGAGGCCGAAGTTATCAATGTTATCGTTGTTCTTGGGTTTTTGTGCGCGCGCCATTCTCGAATTCCGAATGAAAATAGAAATCCTGTTTATCCCTCGAGAGCCTAATAGTTTGTCGTCTCGACTTTCAACCCGGAGCTTTTCATCGTCCGTCCGCGTCCGGATTGCTCGCGACGATCTAAACGTAGGCGTTCCTCGCTGTTGTCGCACAACTCGATAGCGCTCCGTCGACCGCTTTATTGTCACCGTGTGAGAACGTCTCGTTAACGTGAGATCGATCGAGTGAAATTACATATCGATGCGCGCAAACGAAGCGGTCAAACAAATAAACGCGTAATTATTACTTTACGCTAATGTGAATGCCGATATTTACGCAACAAAATATTGTTATCGAAATCTCGACACGAAACTCTCGATTGGAATTTTACATATCGATTTCGCAACGCAAAATCGATAATCGCGAACGCAAAGCTTCTCCCGTTTCTAACGGAACGATCCCAAGTGGGATCAGCGCGAACGAAACGCGATATCAGTTCTGCGCGTGTTTCACGGAAGAAGATGTGATGTTCAATTTGTGAACGCGGCCGATTGTCCCACTTTTACCCGACTGATTTCACTCCGAATGTTTCTTAGAGTTGTTCTTTTTTTTTTTTTTAATAAATCAATTCGCTTCACACACACACATGCGCACGTCTAAACGAGATCTCGCGAGAGTGTGACATCTCAGCACGCGCTTATCCGTTCAGAGACTGTAATTGACGTCGTCGCGAGTGTAAACAGATCGCTCGCAAATAGATCTGTCAGTTTCGCACAAAATGTTTGCATCCTTAACAATGAAATACGCGAATAGTTCTCACACGTTACAAGAGTTGTGCGCGCGAGCAAACATTGACGCAGCTGTTCTCTATCCTCGAACTGACGTAAAAGAGATCGAAGATAACGACAGAAAAGTAACGTGTCGTTTACACCATGCGCGCGACTTATTAGCTGTTGTTTTCCTGTACATTTCCGCGTGGAAGTTTGGCGACGAATATCGTTTTCGTCGATTGAGAACTGAGAACGTATGTCCGCGAGATCGCGAAATCGCGACGAATTTATCTCCGATCGAGTTAGAAACGTACCGCCCATGCCTGCCCTTCGAGCAGGATTCTCACGTGAAACAACCACAAGGGACTGTGCGTCGCGGAATATAGCACACAATTCGATTCTCTGAGATCGACTAGACGATCGGCAAATCGAATCTCAAAGAAATCGGCACGATAATGAGATTTTTTTTTCGCGACAATCGATACGCAATCGAGTATCGAAAAGAATCTCGCGCGAGATTTCGTTTCAAAAGAGCGAAACAATTTCCGTCGACATATTCGCGGAAGTCCGAGGTGTGTGAAGAGCCGTTCGATGTCACGGGGCTGATAAGCGGCTTCGCGTCGCGATAAAAAACAATTTTTGCCGATCGAAGTGCCGGATGTGCGCGCGATTGTCCCGAAACCTAAAAAACGCGAGGTTTTATCGCCTTATCGTCGGATTAATTATATCGATTTCCAATCGCTTTTGCTTATCCGGATAATGCGCACTTTTTCCTCGCTCCTCTGTGGTAATCCCCCTCGAAGAAAACCCCCATCTTCGTATCTCGCGGTCTTATTTTTCTCTCAATAAGTGTATTTTTCAAGATCGTTATCGTTGGAAAAGAGAACAGAAAAAGGCGCGTTTCCTCAATGCACACAAATGTATATATATTTGTATTCTCCTGTAAAAGCGGGTGAACTGAAAATTTTTACATCGCGCTATTGTACATATTTTACGTGTGTTGTTTTTCAAATTAATCGTCCGAGTCGTTCTCGTTTCTATCCTGTCGTGAGAGAAACACGATAAAGACCGAGTGGATTTACTGTGTCGCGTAGGTAATCGAAATGCAATCGACGTGTGTGGTTGAACGACCGGACAGTCGCGATGGGTAATCGCGACAGTAATCATCTGGCGCGACAAACTTGACCTTCCGACCCACTGACCACGATAGTCTTTGCGCGAATCTCGTGCGATGATCGAAATAAACACGGCGAAATCAGTTTGAGGAATCAACTCACGTCGCTGCTTCGCTTCCTTTTCTTCTTTCCCGAATGCCTGTCTTTGTCTTCGTTTCGTTTAATTGCTTGAAGTTATTCGAACAGTGTTCGAAGCATTTGTGTCAAAAATATTCGGCAAAATCGCGCGACGTTATTCAAGTATACGGGAGATATATTTCCTGATCGAATTCACACGAGGTGGTAGAATCTCGCGAGGTGAACAGAGGCGCCAGAAAGAGAGAAAGATTGATTGATTGTGATTGAAGCTTTATTTATATACACTAAAAAAAACAGTTTTGTTGAGATAACCAAAATTTGGTAAATCAAACCAAATAAAGTGTTCTGGAAACCAAATTTTGGTTGAGATTACCAAAATATGGTAATCTCAACAAAACTGTTTTTTCAATGTAGCGCTTCGGGAAGCTTCCCCTCAAGCGCAAAATAACAAAAAAAAAAAAAAAAATACAAAAAGAAAAAAATATAAAAAATAAAATAAGCCAAAAATAATAAGCAAGTAAACAAAACAAACAAATAAAAATAAAATAAAGTAGAGATACAAAACAAATAGAAAAAATAAAAATAAAACTAAAACAAAATTAACATACATTAATTAAGATAAAAAAAAATAAAAGAATGAGCGAAAGAGGCAAAAAGGACATAACACAAGAAATAAATAAAGAGAAGGATAGCAACCATTTTAAAAAGAGAGAGAGAGAGAAAGAGAGAGAGACAATCGAAGAGAAAGGAATCGAAGGATATTTGTCGCATCTAAATGTCATATGTAACCGTTCTCGCGCACTTGGGTTGCTGCACCCTCTCGCCTCGGATTTGCGCACGAAAACGATCGAGACTTTCACTCGACCGTTGCCGACCAAAAGCTACTTTTCATCAGCGATCTACGTGTATTGTATGTTGCAATAATAGTATCTCGTATACACGAGAAAATACAACATTCGATTGCAATATCCAGTGGTGATATTGCAAACCTATCGCCACAAAAAGAACAGTCTTTCTTTGTGAATTCAAATAAACTTTCGAAGGATCGACTCGGATACGAAAAACAAGTACTGTCAAAAATGTTTTTTTGATTTTCACACACTTTAAACATTTTATAATTGCAAATACCGCCTTCAAATCATACGTACTGCCAAAAACAGTGTTTGTTTTTTGAATTTCAAACACTTCATATTTGTAAGTGCCGCTAAAAAATGTTTTTTTGTTATATAAAGAGTGGTTTCATACATCTCTTTAAAAATCGTTTTTCAGCATTAAAAAAAATTTTTTTTAATCAATTGTTACACGGACGATTATGTTTTCATCGAGAGATTCGTGACTCGTAACAGTGAATGTTGCTTAAAACAAGTAAGAGCGACGAATTAATCGATCTTTACATTTCCATATATTTAGAAATCGCGCATACATTATCGATCGTCTACGTTTAAAAGCGACAATTTCTTCGCGTTTTCATCTCTTTTCGAAAACTACCAACAGCGAATAAGACGGTTACGTTCATAAAGTTCGTAACAGACGGTTTCGCAAATAATATTATCTTGGAAAGGAAAATTATAATTCATTGTTGAGCGCGCGCGTAATACAGGTAAATCACAATTTATCGTTTTTTCTCGCGCGATAAACACCGATTATAGCGGGCACAGGTCGACGACCGGGGAAGTCGGTGTGTGTGTCGCGCATTCCGCGGGAAAAACACGTTACACGCGCGCAATATTCGCGCAAACACGTCGCGTGCAAAAATAATTAAACTAATCATCGGATAAGTCTCCGATCAATCGCCAGTTTGTTACGCAAACCGATCGATCTCATTTGGATGATTTTAAAGAGAAATGTAAAAATTGTACTAACGATAAAAAGACATTGTGCTATTTTTCGTCTCGATAAGATTATAAAAAGAAAAAAAAAATTACAAACCGGAAACCTGATGGGAGATTCGTTATCGTAAATTTCGATATCTTAATGGACTGCCTTTGCGATTGTTTTTTTTTCTTTTTTTCAAAATAGTCAATGAGCAGGTTCTGTCTTTCAAAAATATCGATCTTTTTGTCGGTTTTGAGCCTCACTCGAACTTCGATACTTCCTTAGGTTTTAACTCTCAAAGACGCATATATAGTAGATATTTTTCTCGTATTTTACATAATCTCGAATGTTGAGTAAAATACCGAATTTTATTAATTTTTTTATTGTAAAATTTTCAGACTATATTTTTTCAACTAAAATATTCTCAGAGTGAGTTAAAACCTATCAGGCAGCGGATAAATTAATTGAAGGTTCACGTGCTTTCATTTTAACATGAAAGATAGTGTGGAATGTTCAAATTCCCACGGTGCACTTAGCGTGTGGTTTTTAGTCAATTTTGTTTTATTTATTATCATCAGTGTTTTATTTTGTTTTCTTTAACGATCGCTTTTTTCCCGCTGTATTTTCAACGGAATCTCGTCCCGTGTCAATAAATACGGCCAAGAAATTACAGATTGTAAGAAAATTGAATTACAAGAAAGAGACTGCTTTTTTTTTCGCCGTGTGTTTCAACGACGCGAAAACACGTCAAGCTGCCGGGAAGGAAAATTACGCAAACCCGTAATTTCGTAATGACTCTGACCGGAGAAGGCGCCGCAGATATTGCACCATCCGAAACACGCCGAAATCTCGAAAGAAAGTATCGACTTATCGCGAGCGGGCGCGAACACTCGCCGTGAAAACCGTAGCGAGGCGAAATCTCTCGCAACAAACACGAGTTTCGCGTTACGTTATTAATTTTTACAACTTAATTGATCAGCCGTTTAATTAAGGAAGCAATGCTATCAATAAACTGTTACGATGACAATTCTCGCAAGATATAAATGCTCGTTTGATAACGGAATACTTAAGAGATTCGCTCGATTATTATCGCACCTTGAGATTCCACTTTGAACGGATACGATAACGCGGCACGCCATTTCGCGTACGTACATACGATTTGCTAATTCCACTAATTAGTTATCTGTGTTATTTGTCTAAAATTAGAATATCGCCGACTATTTACTTGCCGACAACTCGCTTTCTAGTTCGCCGTTTACTTCCGGTACCGAATGTTATCGTACGCGCTCGTGGACACGAACATATCATTTTCTCTCATCGCTCCGCAGAAAAGAAACATCGCATTTATCGGTTTAGAACATCATCTCGGATACCGCGCGATCTCGCGTTCGATTTCACCGCACGTTTGTGTGTACACGCGTGCGTGTGTACACACACGCGCGCATAACACATACATGACATTCGGACGTGATAACAGCACCGCGCGCGCCGATCTGACAGAAGTTCGCGAAGAACGTGGCTCGTCATCGACCGTGCGGCGGTGTCAAAGCCGGGCCCGGAGAGAAAGCGGCGCGGCCTGTGCGCAAAGTACAATTTGACGTTACTTACCGCACATGTTGTCGTCGACGTCGTTACGAGAATGGAACGAGGCGAGAATACACACGAAAAAAACCGATGAGATGGAATATGTCACACGCTCGAACTGTCGAATATGCGCGAGAGGTGCGCGCTCGACGTTCCGAAACACGGTCCGAGCTGGTCTGATCCGAGCGACAGCGTGTACGCGGCTCTTATGACGTGTGTAACGGCTTGCACGTGTGTTCGCGCGTGCATGTAGTCGTCACCATATATGTGTATTCCACGTTGCGCGCGCGCAACCGAATTTACATACATGTACGTTGTATACGTGTGATCGTAGTCGCGAGTCGACGTTTTCACCGGTCCAGCCGGTAAAACAACGTTCAGTAACTCGTCGATCGATTCACTGCTTCGTCACGGCGAAACGCGATGCACCATCGCGAATACGACAGTCGCAGTCGCATATATCACATGCAGTATTAACTTCGGATGTCGCGTCACTCGAGTAGTCGATAATAGTCTTCCCGTAACGAGATGTGCGAAAAAGTAACGAGACAATCGATAGTCGTGGCGAGAGGTCGAGAGACATTCGCGATCGAAGTTTGTTGATATCCGAGAGAAAACAGAGCGGCCAGGGCTGTGTTCAGTTAAGCAAGATGGAACGAACTAATGCAGGAAATGCAGGAAATACAGGAATTGGAACTAATGAAACTAATGAAACTAATGAAAGAAGTGAAAATAGTGAAAAAAAAGAAGGTTGGCTCCCCTGATCTGTTGC